CGGCGGCTCCCCGCTCCGGCCCGGCGGCGTCGCCCCGCTCCGTGCACAGCGCGTTGCACAACTCGCTGCCGCCTCCCCCTTCCCCCGGCGACGATTTACGGCCTGTAAAACATTTCCTTCTCGGAAAGAGCCAATCTGCAGTGGCCAGAGCAGAGCCCCGGGGCCGGCGCGGGGGCCTCTCCCGCTTTGTTTCCTCTCGCTCCCCCTGCCTGCCCATTCCCACCCTGGCATCCCCAGTCCGGGGCCACCCATGGGTGCTGGCACCTGGGTGCTCCCTGGGGCGGCTCCGGGTGCTCCACATTGCAGCACCGTGGGCCACGTCCAGTGGCTCCTGGCACTGTTGGCAAAGCGGGATGAGCCCCCGGGCCCCGTGCAGCCCCGCCGGCCCCCGCAGCGCCTGCCGGATGACGGATTCCTGCCCGCAGCACCCGTGGGTGTCTCCCTGGAAAGACCAGCACGGATCTGGAATTCCTGCCCCCATCTGCCGGAATTCCTGCCCCCGTGGAGGGGGCCTGTGCGGGGGTTGGCGGTGCCAGCACCGCGGCCGCGCGCGGCCCCTCGCTGGGCGACGCTGGGTGTCAGCATCGGAGGCAGCTCTCCCGTTTGTTTACCATCGAATAAATACATCAAACCCTCCGGCATCCCCGTTTCCCTGCGCGGCTTGTGGGAATTTCCATGTCCTCCCCGTCCAGTTCCCTCGTGCCAGTCTCTGGGGGCACCGCTCCATGTTCTGCACCCGCTGCCTGATTGCTTTTCCTGCTCCCGTGGGAAAGACATCGGCTCTGGATTCCAAGCAGGGTCCCATCACCTGAAGGCCTCGGCTCGAGGGTCCGGGAGCCGGTGCTGCATCCGAGGGCCCAGGTGGCTGCAGGAGCCGCCTGCAAAGGGCCACGAGGCCCGGATGAGGAGCCGGGGCTGCTGTGCCCGCAGCGCGGACGGGACACGGAGCGTGCCGTGGGGTCTGCAATGGAGCAGGATGCCCCTGACTGCATCCACCCGCGTGGCACCCGGAGCAGCATCCCTGGCACGGGGTCCTGGTACTCGACGGAGCCAGGAGGGCTCTCTCCATCCCCATGCAGCTCTGCTGGGATGGCCGCTCCGTCTGGGACACATCCCTGTCCTGTTCCCGCTCCCACTCCCCACAGGCTGGCGGCCAGGGCCACTAAATCCATACTGCGACTTGCGCCAGTGTTATAAATAGCCGGGACGTGGGGTGGGAATTCTCCTCCCGGGATGTCAGGGCCCCCAAGGCAGCGGGTCGCAGCTGGGCCCCATCAGAGGCGGAATTGCTGGGAAGCGGCGGGGCGGGCGGAAGG